TCAAAGTACATTCAACAGTACACTTTAACATTTCACTGACAAATAGAAATAATTATGGATTTACACATAAAGATGAACTTATTGTTGGTTATTGTTACAGTTATTGGGTTGAAAAAAGCACTCTTAAGTTCAAATAATTTCATTTACTTTGTAATTTGGTTGCAAATACCATGCAACTAAGTGTCCAAAAACTTACATTTTTAACTATAATTCTCTTTTTAAAGTATGCTAAAGTGTACTACTTTTACACAAGGGACTCCAAAGAAAAAAGGCATCCGTATTCATAGTGAAACTCCTGCAAAAGGGTGTGTGGCGTTGATGCACAGCTTCTGTTTATCATCCAAATGAGTTGTGTGATTGAAACCTCTCGCCACTGAAGCACGGCTCCTGTCCCGCAGTCTCATGGGGAACAGATCATCACTGCGACCCGACCACTCAGTACTTAACCTTTGTTCCAGAGACGAGGGTGATCTCATCTCACTCGCTCTATTATTCTACTGATCCTGGCGCTGGATAGATATTAGGGAACAAGTGAGGCATGTTCAGTGTGTTATTAGACCAGATCAGAATATTCATTACCTCAGCGAGACAGCACAACCTGCGTGAGACCTAGACAAAGAAACTTCACTGGAACAGATGAAAACGCCACTGGTAAAATGACAAAGCTTTGAGATATACTTGATCTCCTGTGGAGTATTGAGGTGAAAAAAGCTGAGAATTAAAAATAATGGTTAATAAAAACAGATTTTGAGAACAGAAACTTGTTGTGCTATCTAGAGGTAGTGAATTTGTCCTCCATTTGCTTTTGATTTGTCTTTATTGTGACCATAAATCGTTTTTTTGGCTCACCTAGACACTGTATGTTTAGAGAATACTGTAGAATTGACATAAACGAAGACATAAGACATGCAAAATGGCATATCTACATGAGTGTCAAATATGTCTTATGTAAATGTACTCAAGAAAATGGCTAAGACAAAGAGACTAAGGACAAATAAAAAGCTTTATAAGTTGTAGAGACAAAGAGCTGTATGTCTAACCGATCATTCAGAGACAGCAGAGGGTGCCAATGAGAACTGATGAATTACAACACACAATCGAATAATAGAACAAAAGAAGTAGTTTACTGATGCTATAGGACTACACCCAGATTTATAAAGCAATATACATTTATACGATTTTTTAAAATTATTTTGATGTTCCTTGAGGTTCACTTATAATGTTAATAAAAAGATTGAACAAAAAAACCCCCATGATATACAGTATATCCATAAAACGATTATGTTCTACCTTCATTTTGACCCTTTGCCTGAAATGATCAGTTTTTAAGGGGCAGCTCCTTTAAAGGGATAGTTCACCCCAAAATGAAAATGATCCTATAAATTACTCACCCTCAAGCCATCCTAGATGTACATGACTTTCTTCATTCAGCCAAATACAATGAGTTGTATTAAAACATATCCTGGCTCTTCCAAGCTTTATAATGGGAGTGAATGGTAAAAATTTTTGAAGCCCAAAAAAGTGCATCATAAAAGTGCTCCATACGACTCCAGTGGGTTCATAAAGGCCTTCTGAAGCGAAGCCATGCGTTTTTGTAAGAAAAATATCCATATTTACAACTTCATAAACTATAATCACTGGCTTCCGGTAACGTCCGTACGCGAGTCTAGTTCCGGCGGAAGAGTGACCTCTGACCCGACGCATGACGTATTGAGGAACGCGGAAGGGCAGAGAGGATTGAGCAAAACAAAACACCGGTCATGAATTAGAAGTCTAAAAGGAGAATTATTAAAGGGTAACTAAACACTAAACCAACTTTTTTTAATTAATGATCTGTAAGAATGGGGCTTTATTAGTGCTGTTCATTGATTCGAGTAACTTTTTTGACATTTGGGTATAAAGTGTTTTAATTCTACAATATATGGTGTAAAAACGTCTGAGTGCTGCCCTCTTCAGGTTGAACGGTGGCTACTGCAGTTGAATTCTCCTATTGGATGTTTGCGGTAGTTCGTGACGGTAGCGGTGAGAGCTGACGTAAGCAGGTTTCAGCTCACCACGCCCTTGGTACGAGCTACCACGCCCATGGCAGTATAAAAACCATCTTGTTTCGTCAAAACCACTGTAGCGAGTCAGGAGTTGGAATTGCGAGAATTGAAAATGAAGTATCCGTTCATCCCCTCTATCTCCGCTAGGCTCCGCCCACTTTTCCAGCATTTTTCAAATATTGCCAGTGGGTGGAGTCAGGCTCTGACCAGGGGTTTAGTTACCCTTTAAAGAGAAATGTGGGAGGAGCTTGAGTTAGTAGAGGGAACTGTGAAAAGCGTCAAAGCTTACGCGTCAGGAGTCACTCTTCCGCCGGAACTAGACTCGCGTATACGGACGTTACCGGAAGCCAGTGATTATGGTTTATAAAGTTATAAATATGAGTATTTTCTTTACGCAAACGAATGGCTTCACTTCAGAAGGCCTTTATTAACACCCTGGAGCCGTGTGGGTTACTTTTATGATGGATAGATGCACTTTTTTTGGGCTTAAAAAAAGCCCGGTACCGTTCACTCCCATTATAAAGCTGGGAAGAGCCAGGACATGTTTTAATACACTCCAATTGTTTTTTTCGCTGAAAGAAGAAAGTCATATAGACCAAAGATGACATTAGGGTCAGTAAATCATGAGATCATTTTAGTTTTGGGTGAACTATCCCTTTAAGGCTCGTCAGTAAACAGCCTCTGTCATGATTGGCTAACGCATAGGAAACCGGATCAACGTCCACTCGCTATTTCACGCAAGTGTTTTAAAAATATTATCCATATAAAAGCATAATTTTCAGACAAAGCATTATGAAATCATTTACTTTGGGTTGTGATGACATTGCTGACTGCTTCACCAGTTTCTCCATTACACTGTGCCGCGATTACAAAACAAAACGCTCCGAACAAACATATAATCGAACAAAAATGATTTCAGAGTAGATGAAAACAGAGAGAATATCTAGAGGAGACGACGAGTATGCCAGGCAAGAAATGCAATAAAGTCCGTGTCTTGTCACAGTTAAGTTTTATTCATTCAACATTTCACATTACAAATATTTAAAAATTATGCATATTGTTATAAATAGTTGGCTGCAAACAATTAAATAACATTAGATTTTTCTTTTTGTTTCACTAGCACTTACAGACCAACTCCTAGAATATGGACATTTTGTATAACATAACTTAATTAGAAAGAAAAATACAAAAATAGGAACTTATAAAGTGAAATGACAATAAAAATTAAGGTGATATCTTAAGTAAAAAAAAAAAAAAATGCTATTAATAAATACAACAACCTTCCCATACACAGTTAAAAACTATTGAAATTTTGCCATTAAGTAACATCGTTAACAGACAGATATTTAAATATTTATTTTCCTTCAGAAAATGTGAACCATATATTGTGGAGCACAATATAGCAATTAGTAAAAACTAGACACTTTAACATATTAAAAGCTTCACCTCAAAAATATAACAAAAATCTGATCAAAATTATAAAAATTAATTATACATTCCAATTAAAAATATACCAATAAACAGCTAAATACATTGTTGACCTAATAATTACAATGCAATCAATCACAGTAGCTTGAAATAAACAAAATAAGCAAATGAGCACAAAACCTTTAATGTTTTAAAAATAACTTCAATTATTTATATTAGTACAAATAGTTTTGATTTCTTTTCTTTTTTACAAACACCAGCATGAAAAGGATTACAATAACAGTAGAAAATGACTGTGAAAAACATATTAACATCTTCTTTAAATGTCGGCAATTAAAAATGGCATTAAAGAATTACATTGCAAAGAGTCTTTATCTGGAAAAAGTTCAAAAAAAGTATTGCACATAACAACTCCAAGTTAACTTGCAACATTTACCACATTCAAGTCTTAAGTTCCCCTTCCTCCAAACGGGTTTTGATTTACTTCAAACAGACACAGTGGGGATCAAGTCTTTTCACCAGCGTACTATAGAAGATAGGAGCTTTCGCCCTGCACTGCGAATTAGAGTTCTGCGTGTGTGTGTGTGTGTGTGTGTGTGTCGTATCGAGACTGGGGAAGAAGGGTGCAGGGGTGTGGGGTGGCCTTAAACGAAAGCTTTAGGAACATCTGGTGCACAACCACAACAATTAATTTCAATAGCTACGTTTTTTTTTTCTTCTTCTCGTCATGCATGCTAAGGATTACAATAGGAACTAGTTGGCAGTTCAAGAATATATATTTTCAACTGTTAAAATACCTAGACATCAAACATCCATTCGTGTGATACGAGGAACCAGATTAGCATTCTCCTTATATTATTATAGTTTATATTCCAGCTAAGGTCATCTTTTAGCCATTTTTGCGCAATATGAACGACAACGTGTTCTTCTTTCCCATGCTCATTTCCGAAATCTAGGGTTGCCGTTCAAATCTAGTGTACAAGAGCCAAGACCTTAAGCAATGCACTTTGAAACTCTCCTCTGCAGATTTGTCGCGTCAACACAAGTGCGTGCTTTAGTTGTAAAGATTCCTCAGCACTGAAATGTATAAAAAGCATAATTGAAAATAATATATATTAAATTTCACTCAACCTCTTCAAATGAAAATTTCCATATATGCACATCTCTCAGTAACAAAAGTACAAAAGCTACCTTTCACAATGTGAAAAATTGAGGTATTGCAAAAAGGAGTTGTTTTTTTTTCCCCATTTGTGAAAAATGTGCCTAAAATGACTGTTGGAAAAAAAAGTATTTAGAAAAGTAGTGCATAATAAATGTTTATATGTGCATGACAAAATAATTTAGCTAGAAAACACTGTACCAAAAAATCAGCAGGCCATGTATAAAATAATCATCTTTTTTTTTTTTTTGCCATCTTATTAACAGCAAATTCTTCAAAAAGTGTTTTAACTTCGAAAATGTTGGAGCGCGGTCTATCGGGCCGACGCGAGGATCCATTTATCACTGGTGTGTCGCTAACTCCCTGACTTTTGCGCTTTTACGGTTTCGGTTGATTTGAACTGCTCACGCGTCTCCTTCGTTGGACCTTTGGGAAAGCGGGTGGTTCTCTCACTAGTGTTACTAGGACTTTAACCGCATGCTGATCGATTTCAAGGCCAATCTTTGGTTTGCTGGAGCCCATCTGGTCTTTATACTGAATGGGACGATGACGGGGTTGGGGGGGCCAAAAAAATAAATAAAAAAAATCAACCGAAATCAAATCTGCAGGGCAAAAGAAAGGAAACGTCCGTGGTTTTTGCTAGCTACTACACAGCCATCTTTGGTTCCCTAATGTCGGAAAGTAAAAGCTGTTGTGTTTCAGGGGGATGGAGAGATGAATGGACTACCTTCAGTTATGCTTTACACTCAGGCTGAGCGGATCGGTCTTCCTCTCTTCTACGTAGCTTTCACTGCTGTTCTGCTTGTACGTACACCTCTTCTCAGGGCTTCTGGGGGCTGGGGGAAAGGCTTACGAGACACATATTGCGAGTTAAAGAATGAGAACGAAAGGCTTGCCGCTAAAAGCCTGAGAGAACGACGGCAACGAAATCGAGTTCCTTGCGTTGGAACCGGCTCGCAGGCAGACTACTGCAACTTTAACAACATACATTCCCCACTAGGATTGCTGGATCTCCAATTCAAATCAGGAAGCGACAGAGCAGATTTTCTCAATGTGCCGTTTGCTGATGTCATTTCCTTTTCTGTGGTCCTGGGGTGGGGTGGGGGGGGGGAAGGGTGAGACCAGCTTTGATTTTTTCTTCTTTTCTCTATATATATTCGACTTAAAACTAGCAGCTAAGCTTGAGGTATTAGTTTTCTTGCATGTCACAATGGAGATCGAATCCAGACAGCTGTTGTGGAATCAGTTGTTGTCATCAGGAAACATTAAAGATTAGCATGGTCTTAAAGTACAAAGTATAAAAAAAATCAAATAAAATCAAAAGAAACAGAGCGTTGAGAGAATTCGCTTCTTCTGTTTTCAAATCCCAAGCTTTGGTTGACAACTCAGATCTTAGACCACACATCTGCACTCTGGCTAGCGAAGAAACAAGTGCACTCTTCAACGCACCTTTGCTTTCCTTTGCCTTTTCCGTTAAATTAAAATAGGACGTAATACTTCCAATCGCAATGTTAACAAAAAGCCAATTCTAAAAGTCATGCAGATACTTACTGACAAATTATACTAATACTCAATATATTCACATCTCTGTGCACTCGAAAAATGAAATATAATGGAGTTATAAAAAAATAGAGAGATGGATTAGACATTTTCTTTTTCTTCCTGAATCTTTTTTCGGATACACATCCATTTTTTTTTAAATATATTAAATGACAAATTAAAATCATATCTTTTTTTGTGTGTCTTTTTTTTTTTTTAAGTTAAACTAAAAAGGAACCAGCAACAGAAAAGTGCATTTATTTCGATGATGATTCTGCGGCGACTCTCTCTCTCTCTCTCTCTCTCTCTCTCTCTCTCTCTCTCTTTACCAGCTTCAGTTCCAGCGGAAGGAGATGTGGCGAGGTCGGTCTCCTCCTTCCTTCACCAGGGGCTTGTGAAACTCGCGGCCGGCGCGCGAGTGGATGGCCGCCCAGCAGTATTCACAGTAATACTGGAGACAGGTGACGTTAGCGCAGAAGAACGGAGCGAACTTCCCTCCACAGCGAGTCCCCTGACACTCATCACACAGCTGGTCATCCAAGACGTATGGCTTCACTTCCACCTGGACCGAGAGACATCAGCACACGGTTACACACACACACGTGTGCCATCACATCAAACGCTTGCAACTTATGGATTGTTTTATTCAAATATTTGCTTTTTTTGCATTGTGACACTTCATGATAATAATGGGCATTTTCCATTCAAGTAGTTTGTAATCCCCATTATTCTTAATATTAACTGTCACTACAGCAAAAATTGTTGTATTGTTAAAAATAATGACTTTTTAACCTAATTTTCTTTTTTTTTATGTATATGCTGGCATTCTTAAATGTGTACTGCTCGTTTAATCTCTTCTGCAATTGATTATTCAATTGATATTATTTTGTTTTGTGATAAATGGTAAAAAAAAAATAGTACAATACCACAAATTATAAATACCAACAATTGAAATTAAAACGAAGACCTTTAAAAAAAATCCTTTGTTGCTTGAAATACAAATTGAAGGAAAAAAATTAAGCTTACTTCGTTTCTGCTAGCTTCTCATTTTCTTTAGTTTAACTTGATGTACTTAAATGACTAAAACAAAAATACAAATGAATAAATCTATAGAGACATAAAAATCATGTAAAAATTACTAAAACAACAAAATTACTAAAAAAAATAAAATAAAATAAAATAATAATATATACCGGTATATAATAGTATCTCAATGACACTAAAATAACACTGACCACAAACGCAAAACTGATCAATTGTAATAAGATTTAAGGGAAACCACTGACACGATTTTTTTTTATGCACATTAAACCTTAAAAATGTACATTTAAATGCAAAATACATTTTCTCTTGAAATATGCCGTTTTATTCAGGTTTCATGGGATTTTATCATCGATAAGTATATCCTGAACATTTCAGTCTCAAAATCCCTTCCTATTTTTAAGTCCTGCATTAAAGAAATTAGGGCTGGGTTAAAAATATCGATTTCACCATTTGAATCGATTCTCATTTTAAAGAATCGAATCGATTTGTTTCGATCCGAAACAATTATGTCATTAAAAATGTATTATTATAACATTACTATTTAAAAAAAACTAGCAAGTAGCCTACAAATCAGTAATATTATAGTGATGTACCAACTGGCATGTACAAACTATATAGTTTGCAGCATTAGTTGAGAGATATTTTTTGTGTTGAGGAATTTTGCCATTTACTGTACTTGATCTAAACGGAAACTTGCGAATCAAATCGTGAAATTTGTGTCAAAGCCAAGCCCTAAAAGAAACGCATTTAAATTTCAACTAAAACCCGTTCATCAGCCAAAACTATATTGAAATGTCTTCGAGTTTGAGTGTTTGTGAGGCTCGCCGGATCAATGCCATGTCATGGAAGGGGAGTGTGCATGTGTGTGTTTTGTGGAAGTCAGCACTGACCCGTTTATCAATTTCCCCATGCTGCAGTTGTACAAAACGAGCACTGATAGCAGCGATGTAGCTCTGCTGATTAGAGAAGGCCACCCGCCCCGCTCCCTTCGGGTACTTCAGCTCTGGGTCTGTGTCGATGCCGGCGTAACACACGCCACCGTACAGCCTGTCCATGATCATCGCCAGCTCCACTGTCACCAACACAACACACTCCATGGTTAATGCTCAAAACAAAACAAACATACTCCAATGAAATGACAACTCCCCATTTGGGGAAGCTACTTTAAAAGTGTAGCCTGCCATGTTACATTTACATTTATTTACATGTATGCATTTACCAAAGTGACTTACATACACATTTACATTCTTATCAGTTCTTGCTTTCCTTGGGAATCGAACCCATGACCTTGGCGTTGCAAGCGCCAACGCTCTACTGTTTGAGCTACAGGAAAAACTATACATGCTATTACCAAGCAGTTAAGAGAGAGTTTAGCTACACTACAACTGTTCTTTTGAACGTCAAAAATATGGTTTACACAAAAATATTAAGTAGCACAACTGTTTTCAATATTGATAATAATCAGAAATGTTTCTTGAACAGCAAACCATCATATTAGAATGATTTCTGAAGGATCATGTGACACTGAAGACTGGAGTAATGATGCTGGAAATTCAGCTTTAATCACAATTCTTTTTTTTTATGGATTAAAGGTTAACTTTACAAACAGTTATTTTAAATTTGAATAATATTACACAATAATACTTTATACATTTTCATTTCAATAATAATTTTCCCTGTATAACGTTCCCTGCTGTGTAGTTTGCTTACAGCGTTGATTAGTAAAATGAAGCATTTCTCTATACACTCACCTAAAGGATTATTAGGAACACCATACTAATACTGTGTTTGACCTCCTTTCGCCTTCAGAACTGCCTTAATTCTACGTGGCATTGATTCAACAAGGTGCTGAAAGGATTCTTTAGAAATGTTGGCCCATATTGATAGGATAGCATCTTGCAGTTGATGGAGATTTGTGGGATGCACATCCAGGGCACGAAGCTCCCGTTCCACCACATCCCAAAGATGCTCTATTGGGTTGAGATCTGGTGACTGTGGGGGCCATTTTAGTACAGTGAACTCATTGTCATGTTCAAGAAACCAATTTGAAATGATTCGAGCTTTGTGACATGGTGCATTATCCTGCTGGAAGTAGCCATCAGAGGATGGCCGATACATGGTGGCCATAAAGGGATGGACATGGTCAGAAACAATGCTCAGGTAGGCCGTGGCATTTAAACGATGCCCAATTGGCACTAAGGGGCCTAAAGTGTGCCAAGAAAACATCCCCCACACCATTACACCACCACCACCAGCCTGCACAGTGGTAACAAGGCATGATGGATCCATGTTCTCATTCTGTTTACGCCAAATTCTGACTCTACCATCTGAATGTCTCAACAGAAATCGAGACTCATCAGACCAGGCAACATTTTTCCAGTCTTCAACTGTCCAATTTTGGTGAGCTCTTGCAAATTGTAGCCTCTTTTTCCTATTTGTAGTGGAGATGAGTGGTACCCGGTGGGGTCTTCTGCTGTTGTAGCCCATCCGCCTCAAGGTTGTGCGTGTTGTGGCTTCACAAATGCTTTGCTGCATACCTCGGTTGTAACGAGTGGTTATTTCAGTCAAAGTTGCTCTTCTCTCAGCTTGAATCAGTCGGCCCATTCTCCTCTGACCTCTAGCATCAACAAGGCATTTTCGCCCACAGGACTGCCGCATACTGGATGTTTTTTCACACCATTCTTTGTAAACCCTAGAAATGGTTGTGCGTAAAAATACCAGTAACTGAGCAGATTGTGAAATACTCAGACCGGCCCGTCTGGCACCAACAACCATGCCACGCTCAAAATGACTTAAATCACCTTTCTTTCCCATTCTGATATTCAGTTTGGAGTTCAGGAGATTGCCTTGACCAGGACCACACCCCTAAATGCATTGAAGCAATTGCCATGTGATTGGTTGATTAGATAATTGCATTAATGAGAAATTGAACCGGTGTTCCTAATAATCCTTTAGGTGAGTGTATTTCTAACTATTAATATCCTAATAAAGTACATTAAAGAGATCTTGTAAACCAGGAAGATCCCACCCTCTGTGATACAGGTGCATTTGTGATTACCAATTTTTTGGGTCAATATTTACAGGTATACCTCATGTTTAAAAAAATAAATAAATAAAAAATCACATTTTCAACAATGAATAATGTTGAGGGAGCCAGTAAAATAGTCACTGAATTGAATTCTAGGGGAGCTGGATTGGTTCATCCTGGCACAAATTAAATCAAACAGAGCGTACAAGTGATTATGTATTTGATGTCACACAGAAACGACACTATTTCTGAAAGAAGACGAAGCCTCGTACCTGCGCGAAGTGGACGTGGCACTCCTCCCACAAATATGGTCTTCCTGGGGTCGAGAGGCTGGGATCCATCCATCACAAAGTCACTATCGTTGAGATTCCACGGGCGAATCTGGACCTGTTACAAAACAATACATTGAAAAAAGAATTTGTTTTTACGAGTTCAAATCCATGTATGAGGACAAATAAGGGCAGTATAATCAAAAAGTGCAGTTGTTTAGGACAAAATAATTGCAAAATGCACTTCATCCTTACAGGTTTGTCTTTAATGGTGGGGCTGGAAACACACAGGTAGAGTTTTCCGTCCTCCTCGATGCAGGCATCAATAAGGGCTTGAACTGAGCTCTCATCTTGAAACAAGAGGAATGCGTAACCTTTGGGAAACACATTTTAGAGTTAGAAATCTGCAGGAACTAAATTTGACATTAAAAGAATAAATAAAAAAGGATATGATACCAAAACAAGTTGTCTTTTAACACTATCGGTAGCACAACAATCTAAATTGTGACATGAATTACTCACACTCATGTTCCCAACCCATAAGTCATCCGTTAATCTTTGAAACACACATTATGATCGTTTTAATGTGAGATATCTGTCCTTGTATTGAAAGTAGATTACACCAAAACGTCAAAAAATTATTAGAGACATTGTAAAAAAAACAATCCATATGAATCAAGCTGTTTAAATCCAAGTCTTCTGAAGAGACACGATTGTTTTATATGCTGAACAGATTTATTCACATAATTCATATATATTCACTGTCCATCATATTAAGGCGAGACACGGCAGGCAAAAACATAGTTTTTTTTTTCACTAGTCAATTTTGAGATTTCGGGATATTTGTCTTCAAAAACATGTCTTCTTTCAGACTTGTGGTGAAAAAAAGTCCGAAATACACATTTAGGTCTTTATATTACTGCACTTTGTCTGTTTGCGTCTGTAGATTTCTCATAAATTCATCAAAAGTTGGTGATATAAATCATCCGTTGCTCCGCGATCGCGATCTGCACCCTGTCATCACACACACCGTTAGAAAGCTCTCTCTCTCCTGTACAATGCTGTCGCATCCAAATATGGTCATTTCCTTTTTATCAGCAACCAATCTTGAAAGTAAAAGGGCGCAAATGCGCAATCTCATTGGCTGATGCTAAATCTTTAAAGCCCGTTTTCTCAAAATGACTTTTCTCTCATACTCAAAGTCCGAAATCTCCACTTCAGTAGCACCAATACACACCAAACTTTACAGTCTTGTACCTAGTTATATTATGAAGACATTTACAGAGGGATTTGTAAATATATTATTCCTAGCCCGATTTATATAACATTTTATTCCAAAAAACATGGCAAAACTATATTTTTTAAGGCTATTGACAGTATATTCTGATTTATAGGATAACAAAAGTAGATATCCATAAATCCCTCTGTAATTTTTTCCCCCATCTAATATGTGAACAGAATGAAAAAATAATTTTGAACCTGGCTTTATCCAATACTCAGATTTCATTTTTTTAAATATATGCAAATTAGCGCATATTTAATTAGATAATGCCTAATTTGCATATTTAAACATTAAATTACAGAAAACTTGTAATACATTTTTTTCTCATCTTAATGTAGGTAATCAACTGGGAAAGTTTCATGGTGATATCTACTAGTTAAAAAAAATTACCCTATTCACCTGTAGTGTCTCGCCTTAAGTGATTGTGTCTCTTCAAAACACTTCACCGCTCAAATGAAATATGAATTGCATTTACAAGTGGAATGGACGTTTAATGCAGGGACAGAAACCTCGCAGGCTTCCATAAAAATTATGGCTGGGTAAAAAAAAAAAAAAAAAAAAATCTCATTTTGAAGTCTAAAATCCCAAGAATCGATCTTTCAGTCTATGTTTTCAGTTGATGAAATAAGCTTTGTATCACGCATCCCATCCAATAAATCGCAATAAGCTTTGTGCTTTGTTACTTCTGATCTGAAACAAAATCTCAGATTTCAAATTCTGTCAATTTTATTACAAAATTCAAACAATAAATACAGGTTTGACGCGGTTTAATGTTACAGATCGCTGTAGCGCCTCAGTTCAAGAGAAGCGGCACGTGAACCGATCATCTCTTCTGCTTCACTACTAGTTACAGCACGAAATAAACATGCATGAACATCAGAAGTATGTTGAAACATGCAGAACAACTGGCCAAAATTAGTACCGTCTCACGTAATCGCTCAATCAGGGTCTTAAAACGCAGAAAGACGCCAATAAAACAGCTTGTAAACAATATCAAATAACGTCACATTTACCTCAGGGAAGCCATTCACCTTAGAGAGGAGCATTTTGATAAATATATGCACTATATTGCATATTCGTTGTACTTTTACTTAAACCTCTTCAATATTAAATGTGTGTTTGACTAAATCCTTCATGTTTTTATGACATCCACCACTTAAATGTTTAAATATATATATAAAACGAGTAGAAGCAATTGTCATTAAAACTTTTATTGTTATAAAAAATACTTGCTTGTGTGTAATTTAAACCAGTAAATTGTAACCTTTAATATAATAGTGATGTACCAACTGGGGTTCCCTGTATAGTTTGCAGCATTAGTTGAGCGATTTTTATTTTGTTTTGTCCTTGAGGAAATTTGCCATGTTCTGATCTAATTGATCAATATCGGCTCGAATTTGAATCAAATCACAAGCTTATGAATCAAAATCGAATCGTGAAGTTTGTGTCAATGCCCAGCCCTATTAAAAATCTCTTTACTTCTGTTTCGAACGATTAGGGTGAGTAACTGATGACAAGAATTTTCCTTTTTTGAGTGAACTATCCTTTTAATAAGTACCAAAGTGCTGTCAAGTGATCAAGCCAGCAGAAACTAAAACGTTGGTTACTATTAATGACTGTTTCTCGAAAGCCTTTAAAAGGGTCCCATCTCTCCCAGTGCCAAACTCTTAGCTCACCTTTCGGGGGGAAGTACGACTTGCTCTCTGCTTTGTGAGGCCAGTCCACAAACAGGTGCCCAAAGCGGCGAAAACTAGCGGTTATCTCATCTGGAAAAGATAATGTAGCAGATAAGAGCAAGCAGCTTTCGTGGAAAGAGTCCCAAAGCTAACAACGAACCTTGAAACCTGTTTTTGTTTTCATAAGCACGAGAGTAGAGGTCACCCGAAACACGTGCAATACCTTCGTCGATGTCAGGGGGGAGGCCACCCACGAAGACCTTGCGAGAATAGCGCTCGACCCGCTCTCCGTTCTGGTGAGGGAAGCAGTGTGGGGAACCCAGGCCAGGCAGGCTCTGATCCGCTCGCTCCTCGTCCGGGAAACCATCTTCCATTGGGAACAGGGATGAGTGTCCTGAAGAGAGAGAGAGAGAGAGAGAGAGCAGGGACTATTATCTGTGCTACAATATCTGTGCACCACACGGGGAAATTAACTCCACTGACGGATTATTCGGAGCCCAAGAAACACTAAGACAGATAATTGCATCATGAAAAGCGTAGGGATTTCTGAATTATGGCTACTGTGGTCCTGTAAGCAGACCAATTATAGCCCACAGTTTCAGTCCAATGGTAACTCAGGCCATTTTCTACACAGAGAGTTGTGTTAAAGGAAGGATGTGTGTACACTAGCGTTCAAATGTTTGGAGTTGGTAAGATTTGTTTTTCATGTTATCCCAAAAAAGACCCCAGTAAAAACAGTGATATTGTGAAACAAGTTAAAGTTACTTCTCTATTTTCATATGAACTTTTGAATGAAATGTATTCCTGCAATGGCAAAGCTGAATTTTCAGTCATGATTTTGTGCTCAAATCATTCAATATTATTCATTTCATTTTTTTTTCAGGATTCTTTGATGAATAGAAAGTCCAAAAGAACAGCACTTATTTGAAAAAGCAATCTTTTATAACATTATAAATGTCTTTATCTAGTTTAATGAATCCTTGCTACATAAAAGTATCTCACTGAGCCCAAAGTTTGAACAGAATTCAATTCATTTCAAGTTAAATATACCGGTACATACTTTATACTATATTAGTTATGAACAAACTAGATTCCTGAACTGAAAACAAATGTATCTTTGAAATATTTGTGCAAACATAGGATGACATGTTTGTTTGCCAAATTTATACTAAAATTGTATAATACTAATACTAAAGAGTTTTAGGTACTCTGCATTGTAGAAATGCATTTCTACAATTAAGAGAATATTTTGTTAATTTAATGTAAGTGTGAATGGCCAGCGCATGTTCACGTACTAAAGCTTCAGGCTCATTTCGTGTCAAAATCGTGTCATATTTCAGAAACTTCCCCAGCTAAAACGATAAGATTTTTATAATATTTTTTTCTTAAGAAAGACAAACATAAATAGTAATCAAAGCCAAAATATTAAATGTCAAAAGGACAATTTTCACCTGAGATTTGGATCCGAATTTCAGGGGGGTAAGAATGACTTTATAAAGATGGCAGCATCATTATTTTATTTTTGGCAGCATCATTATTTATTTTTGGCAGCATCATTATTTTATTTTTACACAGATTGGTAGGTCTATTAGTGAAATCTGTTGACTTTAACAATCTTTGTTGCATTATATGCCAACGGTGACCTTTCAAAAATGGGAAAAAAAAACACTTTTTGTGTCCCAAGTTTGCATGCCTGTAACTCAAAAAGTTTTTAAGATATCTTAATATCCTTTAAGATTTTGTTTTTTAACAAACATTTCTCTTAGTATCTTCATTTTAAATGCCCTGTAAGGTTCAATCGCAGAGATATGGAGATCGTAATGCAGTTCCATGAGTAAATTGTACACATTTTCAGTGGTCAAAAACCAAATGTGTGGCACTTTGCATTCAGCTGATACTTTTTTTCTTTTAAAGAGGAATTTCTAAACTACAAATAACGTTGAAACTAGAAATGTATCTTGTTTTTATTTCTATCAGCACAATTGCATAGAATATGCCTGTCAGAGAGCCTTAAAGAAATGATCAAATTCATCTTTCTTTCCGCCGGGGACCTCTGGTTGATTGACACAGAATGAGCGTTCGGTAACAGGCCGAGAGCTGGAGAATGTAGTATTAGTCCACTGGCTCGAGCCACTCCAGCAGATTTCCTCCTGACATGACACAACACAGCCTGAGCTGCTTTACAAGACTTATGTAAGGGACTTAGTCACAACTGTGGCCTGGATGGGTGTGTGTGTGTGTGGGGTGGGGGTGTGTACAGACCACAGAAAAACCACAATCAAATTTACTCTTCAAAAAAATCTTCAGAGTACAGTAGGAAAGAGGCACACAATCGATACACAAATGGAAATGAAGGTTGCAAGTGTTCATGCAAACAATTAGCAATGCCCCAACACATTTCATGCAGATGCTGGATTATTCCACCGATAATTATGATAATTTAAAAGGATTTATCATTTTGACTCATTTGGATTTGTTAAAAGTTTTCTTTACCTCGTCGCCTCCCATAATTCCTTGCTGCATGTAAAATAAAATGATCACACGTGAAGTAACACATCCCCAATGAAAATGTGAACTTTCTGACTAAACTATAAAAATGAACAGTGGAACTATGCTTTTTAAATACCAAACCTGACTGAATCAATTTCACGTTTTAAACTAATGTGTTGAAAAGTATGTCCCAGTTTAGATTACCACTAATTTGGATGCTTATCAAAATCTTGCAAAAACTACAGTTTACACAGTTTGTTGGCCAAGTGCTCAAACACTGTTAACAAGACTCAAACTAAACTGTCTGGATTGTCGAACTGCTGCCGATAACCAAATGACTATTCACCAGAGACATGATACCTCAGTCACAAACTACAATTTACTGAGTATTGGCACGTTTATTAGCATTTGGGATTTAAACTTCAGTAGGAAGTAATACTCAAGCGAAACGGTTCAAACAATCATATAAATGTAATACTTAAATAATATAATACTTCCTTCAGTTTCATTAAGAGAAAAAAAAGTGGCAAAACATGTCTCGAGTATTTTCATGTACACTACATATCACATCAGCATTTTGCATTAAACAATTCAAATGTACTTAGGAACAACAGCTAAGTAGCCTAGTTGAAATGATGGTATCTCATATTAAAAATAAATAAATAAATCAAGATATGTTCATACACCCAAAAAACAGGCTTGATTGAGATTTTTGCACAACCATACAAGATAATACACGCTTATATGATGATATTAAACATCTTCCTGGTTGTAACTCTTTTTTAGAAATGTTGTTTGCTTTTATGACAGGGGAAAATAACACTATACTAATATCCTTCATTTGTCTTAATTGGGGTGAAACTGGCAAACTATAAATATTTGCATTACCATCAAATGAAATGCTACAGCTAAAATGGCAAGTCCTAGCAGCAAATCAAATGACCACTGAACTAGTTAGACAAAGTGCTCCAAACTAAACCTATTTTAGTACTTGCTTGACAGAAACACGCAGACTATTTTAACATCAGCTTGTTGGATCTGTCCACCCTTCAGCTTGAGCCACAAGCACACTAAACCAATATAATATAGGCTATTACATACCATTTATGGGCAAGGTGCTGTCTCCTCCGGGATGGGTGAATCCGAGGCGACCTTCGAGAGAGGAGGGGATAAATCAGCCGCATGTTTGAAATGACACAGAGCACGTTTGTATTAATACTAACAGGTCTCTAGTTTCACACTTGAATGTACGTTATTTGTCACTTGATAAAGATGGCTGTTTGGAAGCAAAAACAAGTTAGATGTCACCTAAACAAAGTTCCCCTTACGGTTGATTTGTTATACCATAACTAATGATATTTTTCTTCAAAATTGAAATGCTTTTAGAACATCATTTTTAGTTTTTTACAACAAAACGGATTTGCACATTGTCATAAAAACAATTGCACAGTTAATAGACTGATCCAAGTCTCATTAATCTACAGTCCACAATCCACATTACAGGTGTTATAAACAAAAAAATATCTAAAACATTTCTTGGATTCAGCAGTTGAAATAGTTTCAGAAAATTCTCAGAATAGAACAACATATTTAGGCAGCAACGCTGTTTTGAAACAACACCAATTATTTCCTTTATTTTAACCAGGAGAATCACATTGAGATATTTCTATCTCTTCTTCCAGAGAGACCTGGATGTCTAAAGAAACATCCCTAACCATAACAATTACCAAAAAAAATATGATTCAAACAACTTTACAGTAATACAAGTTGAGACAAAAATAGGAAGACACCCAAACCCTCAAATAAAAACACTCCGGCTTGACCCAGATTTGCCCACATCAAGTGATTGGCTTATTTCAATGTCAAAACAGCAAACCTCGCCGAAACCAACGTATGCAACTAGGGGTGTGCACGAATATTCGAATGCAATATTTTTTTTAAATGCCCATCCCAAGTATGTGCGTGGTTCAGTGATTCACTTGTGAACTCATTAGCGACGACCGATTCAAATCGCAACCTTACAAGCAGGTTTGAGGTTGGTGGAACTAACTCACTGAAATGGTTCACAAGAGTCATCTGAATGTGAATCGGACATCAAGAATTCACCGTGTTGAAGGTGCACACACCTAAAAATGCCATTCTACTCCTCAAGGAATAACTGATGAAAACTGAAGTCATCAGAAGGTGTGTTTATAGGGTTTCGGGTGTTACATTTCATCATCCAAAGTGCCTTTTTTTATGACCGCTCCCTACAAGTCAGAACGTATTCCGGGTGTCTCACAATACTCTCCCGGATCTAGATCACTTTCGTTCTCATGCCGAACTGCCTCTAGTAGAAGAATGAGAGGAAACATCAAGGTTTGTTTCTCTCAGTTGTGTTAACATGGCTCTGGCTGCCCCCTCCTTCTGTTGTTCACTGCGAGAGCAGTCTGGTGGCCAGGGCCAGCACACCATTTTGTTGCTTTAGCAAGAACAGAGAGCTCTTTTACAAGCAAAGGACAATGCTGGAAGCTATTCAAAGCGACTTGTACACTGGACTACTTCTGTTCCCCCGTCTCTTGTTTGTCATCTCTGCCACACTGGGCTGGTGTCTGCAGGGTCACTCTTCTGGATCTGGGGGGGGGGGGGGGCAGTTATGCTCTTCTAGAGAGACGCTGACCCTGAGGCTTGTACTAATTTGGTTATTAAATTACAATGTGAGAGAGAGCAGATTTGATTCAAGAAACCATCCAACAGAGATTTCATTGTGTGCGTTTTTAAAAATCCACAGTGAGTTAACTGCATTTTGGGGGTAGCATTAAGTATGGTCAAAAAGTGTAAAAATACAAGATATGACATCAAATGCTCCTGTTTAATAGCCTGGCTGACGTCTGGGAACCACATGGTCATTTTCTCGTATTTGAGGCGTGGTTTACGAATGCCCAGAGCCGTTTATTGGGTGATACGAATGTCTATCAAATGCGCCTGTACGTAGCTCATAACCAATCGTTTCAATTATACCAGATGACGTATGTAGAGCGACAGAAGTTAGACGAGGAAGACGACGATGGGTCAGAGATTTGTGTGTACATGATGGTGTGTATGTAATAGGGCTGTCAACGAATATTCTAAATTCGAATATATATTCGAATAGTTTTAAAAAACAGAAATTCGAAGGTGAAAATTAATATTCGAATCATGTGGAAAAACACGCCCGCGGTAGTAGAGGCGCGGCTGTCTGCTTTGCGAGTGGCAAAATTCTGAAGCTTAAAATGTAAAACGCATTTTCCAGCTGCACAGCTAGCACAGTGAGTGTCTGGCTCACTCATTGGGTGTGCTGCGGCAACTGCACATCCAATGGCACGGGCGCCTCCAACGTGTGCGCCATGAGCTAGCATTACATCAGACACGTCAGAGCCCGCCAAGGGGGCGTGGCCAGACGCCCTCGAAATAGACCTTATTCGCAAACACCGGAAGTAGCTAACCGCGGCCATATTGTTGACATGACATCTGTCCTGCTGCCCCTAACCGCGCGCAGATTTGAGTTGAGGGAAGCAGTAGCCTGGCTTCATCTCGTCGGTATCAAGAGAAGATAATGCTTTTATTTGATGTGGATCCACACCAATCAAGCTTAAGTAAAGATCCGTCCTTATTGCCACCTTTGCCAGCCGTAACTTATCCGGATATTTATAACGATCTCGTTCATACAGTATCCGTATCCAAACTACAATGCACCTCAACAAGGCAACATAATGAACGACACTCGTCTCATTCGTGGAGGTGGAAAAACAAGTTCTTTGTGACATGCAAGATTTGTTGTATTAAAATGTAAATGCAAAAGAAAAGGCATGAGAGTCGGTTGTTTTTGTCAATTTTAAGTTTTCATTTAAAATGTTTGCGATTTTAATATAAGTACATGGTTACATATTTGACCACTTGCTTGAGCAACTTATATAGACGTAATGCATGGAATAATTGGCTTACGTTGTTGAAATAGTGAGTATGTGTTAAAATAAAAATAGTGAGTACCGGGGTGTTTGTGGTACAGCCGCGGATCAGTTAACGTTACGCACTGCAAACGCAGCATATAAAGTATTGCGCGTACTGCTTCTGTACTGTATACACACCACACACGCATTGCACACGGATTATGTGTGAAACCTGTGGTAAAATGATGGGAACAGACTTTTCTATGGGGAGTTGGCTGAAAGTTTAGCCTATTTATCCTAGCTAGCCTCTCTTGCGCTGGCTCAACTCTGTCTCCTTCCCTTCACGTTTTCTGACAGTCGGTAACTTATCGCATAAAAACGAACTCCGGGGTTCTTATTGCTGTTGTTAGAACAGCCGTGTATTACACAACACACCATCGCGCTGTTTTAAAAAAAAATACAGTGATAATACCATGGATAATACCGACGCTGCCTCGCTTGTCAATTGACAGACTGACAGTTGCCATGGTTTCTATGTCAACAATATGGCCGCCGCAAACATTGATGACGCAGATCGAATAACATCTATAGCCATAGTAGCAGGCTAGCAGCAGTTTACCTATGAGTTTACCACAGCACAGCTCGCTCGGAGCAGTCAATGTCGGTTCTATATACTGTAAAACTTCAATTAATGTTAATAATATTTGTTTCAATCACCGAATGAAGCCTGCTATATTTAGGACAAGAGTCGCGACCTTACATTGCTTGCACAAAACTCTTGATCAGCACTCAACATTTGTTTATTGTTGTTCATTTAAACCGTTATGCGCAGAGAGGGCGAGAGAGAGAGAGAGAGAGAGAGAGAGAGAGAGAGAGAGAGAGAGAGAGAGAGAGAGAGAGAGAGAGAGAGAGAGAGAGAGAGAGAGAGAGAGAGAGAGAGAGAGAGAGAGAGAGAGAGAGAGAGAGAGAGAGAGAGAGAGAGAGAGAGAGAGAGTGCCTGCGAGTGCGAGCGAGAGTAAGGTCTGCGGTCTTGGCCATTAGTTGATTTACTTGGTTTTGTGTAAGTTAATACGTTGTCAAATATGTTTAAACTTAAATAAACTACCTATACAAGTAGTTGTGTCTCTTTGTATTAATTTGTCCTGTTATTGACGTAATGCGCGTCATTGACAAAATGCGCAACCAGATATTCGAATATATGTGTTTTTTTTAGAGGGAATATTCGAACGTCATTTTTGAGCAATTTTGACAGCCCTAGTATGTAACGGCCGTTTCACACCGCATGCGTGAGCGGCGCGTATTTTTTTCGCCGTGCATGTTAATCAATGAGTGCATTCACACCGGGAGCAGGAGCAGCGGTGAAGCGGGGGTTTCGGCGTCGAGTCTGTTTTTGCACTGCTCACGCTAAATTAAAGTGAAAACACACTTTTGATGGACAAAAATAAATATGATTTCACACAAAAAGTGCCCAAAATGCACAGAATAAGCATGTCTAGTGAGTTTTAACAAGAACTTGAGTAGACAAATAAAAGAAAATCACCACTCAAAAATATTTATAGAAGATTTAGGCTACCCGGTAAAAGCTTGTTTTTAATTATTCAGTTTGGGTGAAAGTTGTGTATTATATAAATAAATAAAAAACTAAAGTAAACTAGAAAGAAAATATTATATATAAACATTCTTTTAGTTTATGTAACACACAGACAGCTACAGGCTAGCACAACCCAAATCAAACCCGAGTGTGTGGTTTATTTGTGTGTTTTGTTTTTTTATCCACAGAGTTGCAGTCTTGTAAAAATATCGAAAGTATGACTAAAACTAATAGATTGGAGCCATTTCCTGGGTTGTTTTGTTGTTTAACATTTATATGCGAATGTTGTACACCTCCCCATTACAAACTTTCAAGACTATCAATGTTATAAATGACCAACTTCTAAAAACAAATGTATAGCTGTCTTTGTAAAGAATTGCTCGCTTATATATGTAGCTTTGGAGCCGCTGCTGTGACACTGTACAAACGCTTCCAGTGTGAGTACTCTCGCGCGTCTGCAGTGACGATGTAAGTTAGTTACGCTGACGCGCTGCTCAAGCGCCGCTCACGCTCGCGGTGTGAAACGGCCGCAAGGCTGCATCGAAAGGTAACTTCGCGTCTGCTGCCATGTTGGATCCATAGGTATAAACAAACTGCTTCGGTGTGTCGCATGGACATCGTCATCGTCTTGCTGCTCCCTCCTCGTTCTGTGATTAGTTCCCTAGATGAGGCGAAAATTTGGTTCATGGTCTCCAGACGACTGCCTAGCAGTGAGAATAAAATCGCGCTGCGCAAAGGCAGTATGGGGAAACCCAGGCTACCTGTTTAAAGTCATGAAATGGCATTTGTATCCAATTTTTACTTCAGTAACATGATTTGTTGTGAACTTCAATGAGAAAAATAAAATGGCAGAATAGAACCAGGCCTGAATTCAAGTTGATTGTGAAGGTCAATCCTGAAACAGCGTGTCTAACACCATGAATTTGCAGTGCCACGGCAAACTAAACTACATCTGAGCTGAGCTGCGAGCTTACAGTCTGAGCTGAATGTGATGAGACAAAAGAGACTTTCTGAAATGGCAAGAAAACAACCAAACCAAGTTGTCCTTGAGGGCTTTAAAGCAAAAACAAACAGCAAGACAAATCTGATTCACAAACAAATGATTTTTATGAGCCGTTTTCTATGGGGAATCGTTCAAAAGCACCCACAAACTCATGTGTTAAATCAGCCTGATGAATTGTTCACTGAATGAACTCACTGAACCCCATCAGAACAGTTACTGAATCAACATCTGACTCACTTACTGAACTTTCAGAGCTGCGAAACTTTAATTAGGAAAATTACAGACTGACTGTTCATATGACAATGTGCAGTTGAACATAAAGATGTCTTTGTTTTTAAATTGTAATTTACAGAATAACGTGCACTAATAAATCAAATTTGATTTCACGTCGACTCTAGCATTGATTGCCTTATTGCAGGTGTTCTTATTACCATTTATGAAAAGAAAAAACGCCACATAAAATTAAACCAAAATGGAACGGTTCCCTTCAAAACACTAAAATAACAAGTTTACAATTCACGAACTCTCCATGTCCTAAAAGCAGGCTGCTGTGTTTATGAAGAACAGAGTAGCTTCAGCGTTGCAGACACCACTGTTTGTAGGTCAACAACACAGAGCTTTATCTCTCTTTTTGCTCTGTTTGTGTGTATGTGAGTGTGTATGTGGGCGTGCAATGATTCAGCGCTAATGGGCCGTTTTTTACAGCTGCTCACTCTCACACCAAAAAAATGTAACACCACATCTGTTGTTAAAGAAATCTACATAAGTATGCAAGAAAACACAGGGTAGAAAATGCCACTGGAGAGCACAAAGGTAACAAGTCTCCAAAGACAAAAAGGAAACGTTTTAATGCCCGTTCACTTTTTTTCCCCCATTGTAATTCCATTCTGCTCAATTGGGAAATAACAAGCGGCTGTAGCCAGCAGCAGTGAGTGACCATAAAGAAAGATTAGATCCACTGTCTGCTCCAGAACATGCTCTAATACACGCTTGCAATAACGTCATTAACTGCTGTTTGAATGCATTTACAACTGATATCAAAGGTAAAGCCTCCAGGACTGCTTTGCGATCAGTTTTCAGCTGCCGTAAAAGAATAATATGAAAGTGATGCAACAACCAACAAATTTTCAAAAAATAAATGGGACACTGGTCACAGAACTGGAGCTCCATCAAATCAACATTTGATTTCCAACAAAAAGCTGAGAAAATAATGTTTTCGTCAAAGACTTTGTCAGAATCAGATTCAGAACGATGATGAATACACAGATGGAGTTGATCGAGTCCATCAAAACCCCCAAAGCTTGCACAGTTTCGACGTATTTCTCTGTAACGCTAGGCCGTTTTGATCGACCTAGCGTTGACTACCTAATATGCGGTTGAACGTTTGCGGCTCATTTGTGAGTAAGCAACTTCTATCCGCTCCTTATGTTTAACACAGACAGTTCCATTGTTTTTGGATCTGACGATTCTGTACCATTTCAGAAGGTCTGTAACAGAAACGCCTCCTACCGTATAACGGTGAAAACACCGACTGCCGGAAAATCTCGTCAATGGTGAGGAAAGGGTTAAAAGTTGACCGTTTTTTGAAAGCTATGTCATTTGCAAGAGTCGTCAAAAGAAGTAATATGCGACCACAATGGTCAAACATTTGTTTAGTGCATGTTTGCATAGAAAAAGAAAAGCAGAAACGCAACTGTGTGAACGACCCCTTACTGGAGTACAAGCCCTTCCATTTGATCGCAGAGAGAGCAATGCAACTTAAACCACGTGAGCAGGACAAAGGTTTTTGGACATCAATACGGTACTTTGACACACAATCTCCTTTCGTGGACTCTTATCTTACCTTTCAGAGTGTCTTGCTCAGCCCTCATGATGTCGATCAGAGAGTTCTCCAGAGAATGCATGTTAAAGCCATCGAATGAACGGGGACGATCCTGTAAGGGGAGAAAAGGAGGATGGGTATCAAGAAAATAAACCAACTACGATGGCATTTCTCATATCCCTCAGCTCTGCGGGAGTATCCCTTTCATCTACAATAGAGTTCAAGCTGTTGTGCTTTTGTTCCTCTCAAAGAACTATATCCTGTTGAAAGGAAGTCACAAATGAAAGGCTCAACAGAGGCTCTAGACCAAAGTATAAATCCAATTTGGTGCTCACTACTCACTTGACCCCTAGATCATGTGGCTAATGTCTGTGTGACAAGTCTAATGATTGACATGACTTATAAACACAAAGGTTGAAAAACTGGCTGAGAAAGCAACAGCGGCTTGATAAAAAACAACAACACTAGCAATGAAGATTCAACTTGACGGTTCCTCTGGGTTTATACGGTTGGGTTACAATGACCAACAATGCGCACAGCCGCACACTCATATTTAAAAGGGAGAAAGCCATCTTTAACAAAGAGATAAAGCCTGAGATTAGCTATTTACATGACAAATGGCTCATACAGAACCTAAAAAAAAAACACAGGTTCAAGAATATTCTTACCTAGATCAAAATAGCCTAATTGAACAGTTGCATTTGACATTAGCCAAAAAGCCTTTCAGTGTGTGCAATCCCTGGAAACTAATTGCATGGTTTTGGCATTACTAATGTCATGCTGTACCAAATTAACTACAAGATTTATTATTGGATTGAGTAATAAAAACTAAAATACATCAAAATCGCAGGAGAGCCTAACTGTTGGGCAAGGTAAATAAATGATGACTTTAAATGGATTAGGATATTCCCTTTACCTCGTAATTATATTGTCCACCAAAAGCAAACAATAACAGAATCTAGGTCTTCCTGTCAAGGTCTAGGTCGTCCTGAAGGTCAGAAAGACAATTCTGTGTGATCAGATCACGTCAACACAGACGCAAACGCATGGCCAATGCATTAGAGTAACAAACCTCCGCACGTGAAGGGGTGACAGAGTTCCCTTCATATGTCTGCGCCAATTAGGGGTGTCGTCAATTTACACGAATTCCCATGATCAATCGTCGTTTAAATTACGATCAATTAATCAATTAACCGTTAGCCTTAACACTGCAGTGGCATCTGGCCAACAGCATGACAGGGTGTGAAAATGCTGCTTAAAACCACATGTTTCTCACTAAATGAATGAGAAGGGTTGTAAGTCTAAATAAAGGGCTAGTACGATTGTAAAATGAATCATTTAATTCAATTAATTATTTATTAATGAAATATAATTACTAATACAACGTGTCACCAATGCCGCCTCAGATGCATGCAAGTCAGAATGTGTAACCGTTGTTGTGGACGTGCTTTTCCTGGAGCAACACGATGAAACACTGCAACTAAACCCAATGAATTCACAACGGTTTATTACAATAGTGTTCTCATAATAATGTTATGTAATATGACAGTCCCAATCAAAGTTATTCTTAATCGTGCATTGCTGTTCGAGCTGCGAACGCTGAAGCGCTGAATAAACACCGGTAAACTGATGCCCAAGCGGGTTATTTAACTGAACGAAACACATCCTGTACAAGATTAATCAGATACAAAATAAACATAATATTACAAATTATACCTGCACAAAATGACTAGTTACATGCTTGTCAGAATGTCTGCTCTTCCTGGAGCAACACGCTGAAAAGGCAAATTAAAAAACAGAATTCACAACGCTTTTTTACAATATTGTTCCCTTTATGATGTTATGTAATATGACACTCCCGATCATAGTTATTAATGTTGTGCATTGCTGTATGAGGGATGATCACTGACGCGCTTCATGATTCGTTAATTCTTAACCAAATGCAACCTATATGAAGTAAATCAGATAAATATAGGCCTACACAAAATAAACCCAATATTACAACTTACATGACAACCCACTGATGTCACATGGACTACTTTGATGATGTCTTTATTTCCTTTCTGGACAAGGACAGTATACCGTACATACATTTTCAATGGAGGGACAGAAAGCTCTCGGACTAAATCTAAAATATCTTAAACTGTGTTCAGAAGATGAACGGAGGTCTTACGGGCTTGGGACGACATGAGGGTGAGTCATTAATGACATAATTTTCATTTTTGGGTGAACTAACCCTTTAACGTAAGATGGTCCCAAACATATCCAGCGCACTCGCTTCATTTTTCCTCGTGTCTGCTTTACGAGTTTCGTGGTTGAGAAACACACGTGCATGACCTTGCTTAATGAACGATCGATACGTTTTATTGATTAAATTATCGACAATTAATCGTTGGCATCCCTAGCGCCAATAATGGAATAAATCACTCAAAGCTGAAGATTCTGTCATCAATTACTTGCACTCATATACAGTGTTGGGCAAGTTACTTTTAAAAAGTAATTAGTTACAGTTACTTCTTCCAAAAAGTAACTAAATTAGTTACTCAGTTACAAATTTTAAAAATTAACTAGTACTATTGCGTTACTTTCAAGTAAAATAAAATTTTAAATGCTCAAATGTGACCCCACCTCTACCCTGTCCGACTATGCGTTATGATGGGTCGTTCGCAATTCATGAGCGTTAGCCGTTAGTGATGATGGGTCGCTCGCGAATGAGCTTTTGATGGGTCGTTCGCGATTCTTTTAGCTGAACGTCGGGAGCTGGCTCGCATATCTGAAGAGCCGACTCTATTTTTACAAATTTAGCCAATAGAAATTAAATAATTATGTAATAAAAATTGAAATATTATAGTCAAAGTCATTTAAAGAGCCGTTTGTGAGCCAAAAGAACCGGCTATTTTCAGTGAGCTGAGTCAAAAGAGCCGAATGCCCATCACTAGCCTACTATGCGTGCTTTCGAACACCCGCCCAACTCTACCTCTGATTGGCTTACAATGACATTTTACTCTACCTCAGCCAATCGTCAGCATTTATGCGCTTGTCTCGTGCTCTGCCCACTAACCAAGGAAGAACAGTAAAAAAAAGTATTTGCCTCTCGCTCAGAGATCTAGGTAGTCTGATGAAAAAAAAAAACAGCTTCATCAGTTATAGTAATGCGGCGCATTTTTTGGCAGTAACGGTAATGGCGTTATTAAGATGAGAAGAGTAATCAATTACATTACTCGTTACTGGAAAAAGTAATGCCGTTAGTAACGGCGTTATTTATATATACATCACTGCTCATATATGGTTCAAAACCTGCATGACTTACTTTCTGCTGTTAAAGACAATTTTGTCCTTTCATTGAAAGTCAATAGGGTCAAACGGGGGTTCAAAAACAGACTTTTTCAAACCGGTTTCAAATGACATAAGGGTAAATGACATAATCTTCAGTGTTTGTGAACTATCCATTTGAACGAGAATTTCACCAGGGCAGGGCAGTGGAATGAAAAAAAAAAAACAAGGTCTAGACGTGTTTTCTTAAAAAGTTGAACTACTTTAATGGGAACGGTGCATTTTTAGATCACTGTGTCACACACGAGACTCTGACACAACGGTCAAACACATCCTTCAATGTTACAGAAAGACAATAGTGGAATGAAAAAACCTTTTCTGTATAAAGCTCCTATAATGGTTGCCAAAAGTGTATAATGGCCACGCCACAAACATTCAAAAATTGTTTTGCTTCAGACTATGATTTTATTCAGTCGGAGGACAAAGAACATGTTTTATATTTTGATTTCAATTTGAAAATCACATTGTCGTGCAACAAAGTACATGTTTCTACGCGAGTTTGTTGTGTTCATGACGACTTGAAGGTCTGGTACTGAGTGATCCTCAGCCATTTAGTGTATGATGTCCAGTTTTTCCTCTATAACCATTAGCAAAGCCGGCGAGTATATGATGATGCATAGTGCTTTAAAATCAGTCCAGATTTTAAAAGTCATACAGTGTATTCCAGCCTTTAGATGTTATTCTCCACAAAGTCCACTATGAATGGCAGCATTATATGTGGAATCATGCTTTGTATTCCCATTCTTGCATAGTGTGATTCAGGGCTAAAACAACCCATTTAGAACTAGTCTTGACTAATACTACACTGTAAAAAAAAAAAAAAAATCTGTTAAATTAAAAAACCGGCAGCTGTGGTTGATATACCGTAAAAAATACGGTAGCCACATTTTAGGTTTTATAGACTTAACTTTACAGTAAAAATGTTTATTTCATAATCTGATATAAATGTTAATTTACCGACATATTGAAATGAAGTACTAATATCTGTTTTGTACCATTGTAATACACTGACAGTGGTGATTAGAGTCACATGATGAATCAAAGCTCATCATCACAAGCAGCTTTTCCACAAGCCGAGAAAGTTCATGATAATATATAAAAAACTGCACAGTGTCATTCACACAAACACTAAACACCATCATGGTAACACGCATGAAATTTTAAATGCAATAAACATTCATTTAACAACATTAAATGTCACATAAAACAGTAATGTACATAACAGTTTTAAAAAAAACTATGAAGAAAAAGTTATTTCAACAAAAATACATCAAATGTGAAGTGTCGCGCAATGTCAATTTACGTTTTTTTCACTGTAAATTACACAATGATTTGTTATTTTTCATGTCCAAAAATTCACTGTATAAAGTACGGAAACTTTAACCAGATAACAGTTTTTTACCGTTAAAGTCATGATAATTTGTGTAAGTGTAAGGCTTTCAAAACTGCTGTTGTTGGCTTTAACGCCAATTATGCCACCTTTATGAATGTTTTAAACACACTGCTACATATACGATCAATGCCGCCGGGTTCAGCTAGCTATTTATATAAATAGCCAACGTGTTGTACCCAAGCTCCAACATGACGCAGCTTCCATCTGAACTGGCTGGTGCCATGATTAACGGCACAATCTGCTCGTGCTCAGTCAGATCTGGCAACTGCTGGGACCTTCAGAGCACCACTCATCCCCCTCAGCTTAGAGAGCCCGTGTGCTCACGCAGGGCACTTATGCCACTGACGCGCTGATGCTGAACACGAGAGCAGGCCAAAGGCCGCATT